GATGGTGTTACAGCTCTGAGTCAGCTTTGGGGCATCAGACGCACACACTGGAAAACCAGCACCTGGACTTCATGCAGGAGAGACTGCATGAAGTTTTTATCTGATGTAACATGTATAGAAATCATACATATACCAACAAGACTGTACATCACTGTCACCACAGCGTTTGTTTTCATTCAAAGGCTTTATGGCTTTAATACCTAGTGGGACGGTCTCTCGTCAAAATGCCCGGGCCTTCTTAATGACGGTATGTTAGCTAACAACCCAACTACCAGATTCAGCTTGTAATTGGCTAAAAATAACTTCGCCTACCAGTGAGAGGGACGTTGCTAGCTGGCAGTTTTTTTTCAAGTGATGTTGAAATTTCCACATTCAGACACTTCAAAAGCTTCAGCAGCTGTTCGCTCAGCGCAGCATCAGCACCACGGAAACACACGGATACATCCGTAGACTCAGGACAGATAAAACCAGAAAGCTTTAATGAGCAGCTGGATTTGTCTCACATTAACTGGCTGGACACAGAGGACATGCGCGTGGCTCTTGTGGTCCTCCATAGGGGGAGAGAATGAGAGGAGAAGAGGCAGCTGTGCAGCAAAGACACAGAATAAATCAGCTTTGTGTCTTTTTCATTGTAGCTGAAGTTCAGGACAAACTGTTCCTATTCAGCTCAACACGAAACAAGTAATATTTTCTCTGAATACGAGATGATTCTGTTTTTTACGGGACGGTTGGAAACTCTACTAACTAACCTTATGAATAAAATAAAGTTCACTATCAGTAACATCATAGCAACCGAACAGCTGTATAGAAACTCCGTCATGGTAGCTAGTAGCAGTACGAGTTATTGTAACTGACTGTAAAAAGTCAGCACAATGAAAATAAACTCCACCTAAACTTATGCCCGATGGCCAGTCCAACTATGGTCGTGCCATCTGTTAACCCTTCGGTTGCCGTTGCTGATCATGGCTAATGACTTCTGAGGGAAGTCTTGTTCAGAGATGACGACCTTTCAGTGACCTGAAATATGGAGAATAGCTTTTTCTTGTGGTTTTTAATGACCTGCTGAAGGTTGGTCCAGCATCCCTGTCAGGACTGTTTGAAAATGTTGTTTTAGATGATTTACATCACAAACATTACAGAACACATTCTTTGGCACTGATACAGTGATGCAGCTGTCACAGCAATGTGAGCAGTTGTCTTTTAACCCAACATGTTCATAAATAATGCTGACTCAGTGCATTTAAATACGCTGCTGAGGTGTCCTTCACAAACATCGACGTAACAATCTGGGCAAGAGACTCAGCGTTTCACATCACAGACGGCTCGTCATCTCTGATATTTGAAGCAAACATGCTTTTTTTTCTTGACCTTGACCTAGTTTTTATTTATATATCTCAACAATCATCTCAATCATGATAGCAGGGAGGAAGAACTCCACTGAACCAAGCACATAAGGAAGTTATCATGCTTCTACAGGTTGATGGTCCCCTGATTTAGCCCTAACAGGGGACCATGTTAGGGATTGGGTTAGCTGACCAGAGGGGCCGATGGCGCAATATGGCAGCCTCTCTTCTGTCAGTTTGCCCCAGGGCAGCTGTGGCTACAACTGTAGCTGCCTCCACCAGTGAGTGAATGTGAGAGTGAATGAATAGTGGAATTGTAAAGCGCTATAAAAATGCAGTCCATTATTATTATAACAATAAGTTCTATGATAACAAACTCACTCATATTCACATCCACACCTGGATGAGTTTTCCAGAATCATTTTGATATGAAATGTTTCTAAATGTCACCGTGTTGTTACTGAGTTTGTGCCTTCGTCCAAATACTGAGTCACCTAACTAACCTTCTAGTTTGCTTAATGTGTGCATTAAAGCAGCGGTCCCCAACCCCCGGGCCTCAGACCGGTACCGGTCCGTGAGTCGTTTGGTACCGGGCCGCGAGAGTTGAGGCTCAGGTGTGAAATGTATAGTTTTCAGGGTTTTTATCGGTTTTCAGCGTTATTTTGTTATCGTTTTTATCGTTAACTCGGTTTTCCTGGGTCTTTTCATGTGTGTTATGAATAAATCTTCTTTTTTTCGGTACCGGTACTAGTTTTATTTTGTTGTATTTATCCGCGACACCTTAAAGGCCGGTCCGTGAAAATATTGTCGGGCATAAACCGGTCCGTGGCGCAAAAAAGGTTGGAGACCGCTGCATTAAAGTACGTATCTTGGTTATAAATCAGACTCTGTGGTTCTCACTATTCTTCTAGAGGTGAAAAATAACTCGTGCAGGACTTTTTGTCTTCGAAACATGCCTTTAGTTTAACTGAAGGATTTGCAGATAAATATAACTGCACCACAATAATACTTCATTCAATGCTTTCTTATGATAATATTCACAATGGCCAAAAGTCTTTTGATGATGGATGCATGACATCCACAGCACCTGATAAGTCTGAAGGATGGGTGGTTTATTATAGTTCCCACAATAACAGCTTTTGTAACTCACAAAGACTCATAACACTGAAGCTGGATCAAGGTGATGCTTTCTTGCCGTCTCCAGAGGAGCCGCTGAGTTCATGGTGTTCACAGAAATATAATTCAGCTACACTGCAGTGCTTCATCAGAGAGGGTCATAATCAGATTAATTTTGTTTTGCATTGGGTGATAAACCTGTTGAGTCGTAAATGTATAAAGAGTGATCAAACATTATCATAAAAAAAGTTATCAGCCAAAGCCCAACAATAAGACGATTATGGTGATTGTGCATAGGGCTGGGTATCGTCACTGATTTCTAGAATCGATTCAATTCCGATTCGATTTAATTCGATTGAATTTAATTTGATTTGAATCTGGGAAATTTTGACAGTCAGAAATATTATAATTCAGATCAGTACATTTACATATTTTTGTATCTATAAAAAGGAAGCTGACACACACAAGACTTTATCAAAGGTGTGAGCGTCACAGCAGAGGCCTTTGTGTCAAAGTAGCTGAAGATGAAACACAGAAAAACATGAAGGAGATTTTCCTGTGCTGGATTTTATAAAAATATTCTGCAGTACATCAAAAACGAAGGAAAACCATTAATCAACACATGAACATCACCTCTGAAGTTACAGCGGTTTTATCAGAGACAGGGCGTTTTGCATTTTGTATAATTTTAAAAAGTTTAAATTTGTTCAGTATTGAACGGCAGAAATGAGGCTTTATTTTTCTGAAGTATATAAAGCGAAGAAAAAAAACGTCGGCCGACAGCCTGTAAACAACAGTAGACTTGTGCGTAACAAGCAAGCAAATAATGCAGAAAACAGATTTTTAGACAGGAAACTGTTGTTGAGAGAGAGAGAGAGAGAGCTGTGCATCGTGGTCGAAGCAAAACAGGAAAAGTCAGAGTGAATTCATGACGATGTTTATGTGAAGCGTAGTTTGGATCTTCTTTTGCTGCTGGTTCGGTTGTTTGGAGAGACATCAAACTAACAGCTTTAGAATCAGCGCAAAAAGGGCGTGAACACAAAGCGCAGACCCGCCAAAACATCAGAGTCAGCGAGCTGTCGGCTTTCAGCCCCGACCGTGAGAAAGGCGACATCTAACTGATGTCCACTGTGTGTTTAAGTCTTTGTGCAGAATCCGTGTTCCTGCTCTCATTTACTGTCTTAGCTGTTTGGTGGTTGTTGAAATTTTGTGAGATTTAACCTGAGATTCTGGCATTTTGGGCAAAATAAATTTATATTAAAAAATCGATTCAGGATTTTAATGAATCGATTTTACGTTATCGAAGCCAGAATCGATTTTAATGAATCGATTATAAAAACCCAGCCTTAATTGTGAGGCAAATATACAGGCAGGTCTATACGCATTTAGATAACCAGATAACATGTAGATGCTAATCATCACTGTCTGTTTCATGGAGTTTGCAAAAAGTGTTTTTGAGATTGCTCCGCCCACCTCACCCACCTCTTTATTCAGTTTTGTTCCCAGTATCTGACACTGTGTTGGGGTGAGAGCAGACTGGGCAGTTTGGGTCATTACTTATTGCACTGTACATCAGTGCTGCAGCATTTGGCTGAATCTGAGCCTTCTTCAGACACATGATCAATAAACTCCAATCAGTGTTAACAAAATGTGTGATATTTGAGTGAGGAGCACGTCACGTCAGCTCACCGTTCTTGATGACCATGGATGTGGAAGTAGTGCCGGCAGGTACGGACGTCTCACTGGTCTCAGGGCTGGAGGTCGTCGGTAGGCTGTGGCCCCAGGAAGTGATCGGGGTCCTCTGAGAAGGTAGGAAGCTGGTTGGCTGGGAGCAGTTCTGCCAAAACATCACAATCCAGTCCATATTTCAGTCCACTTTTCTGAAGAGGATTTATTTTGTGTCCTGATGGATCCTTCTGCCCACTCACCGTGAAAGATAAGGCCTTTCTCTTTTCTTTGATCCTCTTTATGGCATTCCTCACCTAAATGAGAAGCAGTCTTTACACCCACTGATTTGTCCAAAAGGCTTGCAGCCTCACATAATGCACAAGGATGTGCTCTGATTCTGCAGGACAAAAGCTGCACTGAATGCATTTACCTCACTGTTGTAAACAGCATAGACGAGGAAGATGTACAGACCCTGTGGAGAGAAGAGAGGTGCACTAAGAAGCGCGTATGAAGACAGAAAAGAATCATCTCCATTCATACGTTCACTGACTATATGGATTTCACTGCTGTTTTGTAACCTCGCTCAAACAAAGCTTTCATACTGTGGTGCCGTCATTCGATGTGGTTTTCTACTCCTGACACGAGCTGCAGTTAGAGTCAGCAAATTTCAGCTCAACTGAACGCATTACTACAAATTTGCATTTCATGGCTCCCCAAAAAGCTGATTCTGTTCATGTGGACGTAGAAACGATTCACAGAGAGTTGGGCTGCAACACAACACGGTGGAAAGTAATCAGATGTTGTGCTAATAATGTAACAATAGGGTAAAATATAATAATTACATGTAAAATACTTAAAGCTGTGAGATGTGTGACCACGAACCATGTCATATATTAACTTGCCCGAGTGACCTCAGTCACAAAGCCCTAGATTGTCAGTGACAGCTGGTCACCACCTGTGTATTACCCAGCTGGCACAACCCTTTTTGTGATTGCTCTGGTTGCTCCAATAGTGCAGCAATTGTAGTTTGAATGGAAGTGATGACTCTACAAACACTGTCCAGGTTCTCTCAGTTTGAAAAATGTGACACAAACTGGAAATGGAGATGAATCGCCTTCAAAGTAAAAGCTGCATCTTCTGAAAAATGCCTGCAAAGGCAAAGCTTCTCCATCTCCAGTCTGTGTCACACGCTTTCAGTTGCATTGCTGCTCAGCAAGTGTTTGCAGACAAACATGCAACTATGGGGGATGAGCCAGCAATCAGAACAATACCTCGGAGGGTTTTACTGCAGCACCTTGCAACCGCTTTCCCCCTCCAGAGACCACTGCCAAGCAGTAACCAGTATTAGTGTCACATCCACTCTGGCAGACAACTACTGATGATGATGACTCAACAGGCTGGATTCACAGATTTTGAATTGTGTCAGAATGAGGTTGTCAGACGCCCGAATCAGAAAAAAAATAAAATCCTCAGCAAAGAATTCCTCTTCTTCATAATAACTCCACTTTATAAGCATTCTGAATGTAACCATTCATTATCCATCCTGTGTACAACACACCCACCACCCCTCCTCTTCAAATATCCAGCCTGACCTGACAGCCTCATTTCTAATTGTGTCCCTTATTACTCCCAAAGACAATGTTAGCATCTCCCATCGTTTTGTTGTGCAACTCTGTCTAAACCAGTCGTTGATCTCACTAGCATGTTGTGAAGCTCTCCTTGTACTCTTCCTCCACCTTCATCACCTCTGCTTCTTGCATCTTCACCGTTACACCTGTTGCCTTCCCATTCACACATATATATCCTGTCTCCTGCTCCCGACATACGTTCCCCTTCTCCACAGAGCATACCTCCACATTTCCAGGTTTCCCCACCTGCTCCCTACTCTCACTGCAGATCAGTGTTGTCTAATAACATCATTATCACAAAGAGTCTCCTGCCTGACCTCATCTGTCAGCTTGTCCAGCAACATTTAATCTTTGCCCTCACTTCTTCTTCTTTAATCCTAAAGGTACGCTAAAGACTGTGCTGATAGCACCTTGCAGTCTCCTGCACCTTCTGCACAGGATGTAGTACACCTGTGGGCACCTTCCTCCTCTCTTATAGTTCACTCTGTAGCTGTGTCCCAAAACGTCGGCTGCATCCTTCGGAGGACCCGGCCTTCGCGGTCTACGTGGGCCGGGTCCTTCAAAGACCGAGAAGTGCGAGGCTGTGAAATTGGACGGTCTAGCCTTCAGATT